CGTCGACTTGCTGAGGGTGACCTCAACTTGGATGTGACCTATGAGGTCGAAGCTACTCCGGAGACTATTGCTGATTATCAAGAGGGTGCTGAGGCTCTGGACAGCAATCCCGATGTCAACCAGGCGCTCGAGACGAACATGGCTAGTAACTTGGACTTGGCCGGTGTAGAGGTGTCGAGTGTGACGGTCGAGAGCGAGCCATTGGTTATGGTTACAACTACCACTCCAGCGCCGTCATCTGATGACAGCAATACTGGTGCCATCATCGGTGGTGTCATTGGTGGTCTTGTCGGTCTTGCCATCATTGGCTTCGTGGCTATGAAGGTCTTGAAGAAGTAGAAGGTGACGTATAATTTTAGTTATTATTTGAAGATTATCTCTTGACTATTCATGTGTGCGTTGCTATTCAATTGACTATTATTTCGAGATAATAACCACTACATACTAGGCTCATCGTGCGTTGATCTCACTGCCTGTGCGCAGACGACCGACCTGGAGCCTTCCATTTTGTTAACGATGAATATCTATACCTAAAACTACACTTTTGAGTTCTCAGTTAGTTGAAGAAGGACAGGGGAAGAGTGGATGCGGGAGTTGGGATATGGGAAGGTGAATGGTGCCTTAGGGGCACATGCGGTTCCTACAATGAGTTAACCAAGGTTGCTAGGTTACCAAGGCTCGAGAATCTACTAGGGTTCAAATAACCATGATCGAATGACGTGTAGTTTCTTACTCTGAAGGTAATTCGATACACCACAACTCGAATGTGGTGTCCATAGTCCCCGGAGACTCATATCGTGCATCTCGTATGGTGTCCAATGTCCTTAGATCTCCTGAAGTGCGATCCTATCTTGTTTAGAAGAGGCAGAAGTGTTTGGTTTTTTTCTACCGTGCTTCATCTAGCATTATGTTCGAAAATCACTATAACATGATGATGCGCTACGCGATTCAGCCGAGTTCATCGTGAGCCACGATATCCTTTGTCGTAGGTCTTATGTGGATCTCGATAAGCGTGCGAGAGCTTCTCTCAAGAGTGCTCTTCCGGGGTGTTAGCCGTGATCTCAGATCTTCTTTACTCTTCAGGGGTCAGCAGAGTTCTTCTTGGAACTCGGCTGAGTTCCAAGAGCGCTCACATGATCGAATTTTACATGTGGAATCCAATCTTGAAACTCAAGACAGGTCTACTGGACACGCCGAGAGCATTCGAAGTGAGAATTCATGAATTTTTATAAGCTTGCGCCCGGCTGATCGATAAACCCAAAGGGTAAGACACGTTATCCCTCCTGCAAGTTGCGCCGCTGCTTTCAATGTACAACGGCATAGGTCTGCAGACAGCCCGAGGGAGTGGCACCAGTGGTTATGTAATGCATTGGCAATCAGCAGAACAGACGTCCATTGTTATGATGATAATTAGGTCCAACGTAACAAGTCCTACCTCCGACCTCAGAGGACCGACATCAAGCCATTTAGGGAGGCTGAGGCGGCTGCCCCTCCTAAGCCGAAGAAGGCCGACCCGGAGCTGATGTAAGGGAGGCTCTGGCTTGAACGAAATGGAGATATAGTGCTTGTCGAATCTTCACAGTGCGGTGCCTCCATGCGCACAGCGAAGAATATCTTTGGCAGTTATCACAATCAGAAGAGAGAGATTGAGGTGAAGTTGCTGGACCTGCAGGATACTTTACTAGAATCCGGGGAGGAGGAGGATATAGTCCAGAAGAAGGTAGACAAGGAAAGACAGAAGCTGTAGTAAATACCTCAACACGACGGCTCCGAGCAGTTAAGCGGCTCAGATATAAGGAGCTCGATGAGCGGAGGGCCGAGGCCGAGGCCCATGGAGGAGAGCTCGAGGCCGATCAAATGGCGACGACACATGAGTAATACCATTCACCCGGAGGAGCGAACGCCTTTGTAGATTCCTGAGTTGTCGGTTAGGTACCTTCAAATGCAGCAACGACAAGCGGAGAGAGCAGCTAAAGCGTTCGGAATAAGTGGGCGAAATTGATAGTGTGGTAGTGGTGGTGGGATGAGGCTTGGTCGCTCTGGTAGACACTCGGAATCATGAAGAGGGAGTGGCATTCGATAAGGATCGACAGCACCAACAGAAGTTACAACGTGAGTTCATGGGAAAGGTCCCCGGTTCGATTCGCACTGAGCGCATCATCAATCGTCGCTACTCTGATGTGTATCAGGTATGATGGATGCCCAAGTTAGACAGGCGGAGCGGTGGGCAGCTCCAGGAGGGGAGAGTGGTGATGATAATGGCGAGATTAGGAGGGGGCAAAGGAACAATCGACCACCGGCTAAGGGTACTACATCTGGGCGGGTACATCACACTATGATCGAACACTGTATGTCATTTCCGAAGTAGCGTAGCGTTACGGCTCATCTGATTCTTGTATTGGTTCAGCTGGCGAATCGTGGCGGGACTTTGCAGAGCGCCGTAAAGGGAAGGGTTGGGCCGCTGGGGAGCGGCAGGAGACTGAGGATGGTGCTAAGAGGAGGGAAGCCAAGCGTAGCAGAAAAGAAGATAAAGTTCTGCAGCCTGAGAAGGAATGATGATCCGTGTACTATAGAGAGAGAGTTTACGTGTTATTTATGGGGTTGACTTCACTACTGGGTGATGTACGATGATTATAGTTGTTGTTTTTTCCAATTGAGTTATGTCGTCGAGCCATGCATCAGAGCAGTCCAGTGAGAAGCGACCAATAAGCTCTCATAAAGTCATTTTCCTTGGTGATCAAAGTGTCGGGAAGACTAGTATCATCACACGCTTCTTGTATGGAGCATTTGATACGCATTATCAAGCCACTATAGGTATTGAGGGCGGAGCGAAGCAGGTAGTGTTACGACGCTCAGTGATCAGGTATAGATTTTGTGGCGAAAGTGATCACACTTGACGATGGTCGGATGATCAAATTGCAGTTGTGGGATACGGCTGGACAGGAGAGGTTCAGATCTCTGATACCTGCGTAGTATCTTTCACGCACAGCGAAGAATTTCCGAATTATTTGATCTTTGTTAGTTACCTGCGAGATACTGCGGCATGTGTCGTGGTGTTCGATCTGAGCTCGAAAGAATCTTTCAATTCTGTTAGAAGCTGGGTTGACCAAGTACGCGATGAGAAAGGTAGTAAATTTGTAGGGGAATGTCACCATGCGCACCGACGATTTGACATCCAGTTCATCACTGAACGATTTTTGGTAAAGTAGCCAGGCTAGGAGTTTACAGCGGAGCGAAGCGAGTCTGGATTTACTATTATTACTGTAGGTACAAATGGAGGGGTGGAAATAGTGTTGGTCGGTAATAAGGCGGACATGGCAGATTTACGACAGGTTAGGAGCTTCGCTCCGCTGTCGATAAGGAGGTGATTGCGGATAGGTTTCCAATGAAGAGGCAAATGCCTTGGCGGAAGAGCTCGGCTTGAAGTATTTTGAAACTAGTGCTAAAAGTGGCATTGATATCGATGAAATTTTCACCGAGGTAGGGCAGAGAGGTCCAGGGTTCGACCCCGGCACCTGGCATCTTTAGATTGCCAAATCGATACCAGAAGAGGACCCAGTACTTGGAGGATCGAACACTATCAGAGTTACTAGCGGTGATGAGCTCAGCAATGCGGCTGCTAAAAGTGAGAATGGGAGGACGGCTTCGTGGATTGAACTGAAGTTGCATTTCAGGTCAATCATGCGGTTGTTGAAGACCACCATTTTAACAGTGCTAATGAGGACAGTAGAGTCTTATATATCCGATGTTCATTTTTTCTCACGTTCGAAGGAGTTGTGTTGTGATGCCATAAAGGTATTGTGAATGACGGCTTTCTGCGGAGGTTGGATCAGAATGTTCATCGGCGAGACGGCTACTATGGACGAGTCAAGGTGGGATGATCAACCTACTGATGAATCGTATAAGGTGGTGTATCCTTGTGATTTTTGCCTCTTCGGTTGATGGAGATAATACTTCAACAACAATGCACAGTTCAGGGAGGTGTGGTATTCTGTATGACTCATCGTCAATGTAGGTTGGTGCTGGGCTCATCGACGTTACGGCATATAACGGGAGGAATCGACTCACCGCAGGTTTGCAGTCGGTTGACTGAGGCGTCTTTCGGTAAGTGATGGCGTTGTTGTTGTTGTTGAGATCGCCAAGGGGGGCGGGTCCAAGATGGGCGTTCCGTGTGGTGGAGTTCGAAGAACAGAATCCTTCCGGAAGCATGGGACGTTGCTGCATAATGCCGTTTCCAATGCAACTAAGTTTTGAGTCGCAATGCTTCTCAATGATAAGGTTAGCGGAGCGAAGCGTTACATATTTTGTGTGTCTCCCACCATCGTCGGTGTAGTTCTTCTCTCATGATTCGAAATGTCACCAAGAGAACGCTGCTAGGGTTGGCCGTAGGTCCCCCTCAAATGCTCCATCACTACCATCTTTAGGTCATGGCTTTGGTCGTGGTCCTCTTCGTAGCTTCGGGTGCGATAATTCAGCTTATCTTCACAAGTGGTGGTTATGACAAACCCGTGGCCCTCACGGTGATCAACACCATATGCTGTTTGCCAAGACTGTTATCGTAGGTCTACTCCCTCACCCTCTCTGTATTGTTGTTGGCATTCCGCCAATACATCCACATACCGGGACAGGGCCCAACCGAAGAGGAGGAGGCTTTACTCGATGAGTCTGATCATGCGGGAGGGCGATCAGCGTGGCCGAAAGGGACGCTGGTGTGGGCGTTGGGTAACTCACATAAAGCACCTCATCTCGCATTATTACAATCCAAGAACCATCTTCTTTAGGTGCGATGTGGTTCGCGTCACAGTTGACCTACAACATCTCGCTGAAGTACAAAGGGAAGGATCGTTTGACTCTCGATTGATATCCTCTAGGTACACTTCGGTGGCTACCAACAGCTCCCTTTCCAGTTGCTCTAGTGTATTCACGTTCATCTTCTCCATAGTAGGTCCACTCCCCCAACACATCGCCACCTCGTGCTGCTCGTTAGGTCCTCTTGGGATATCCTCTCTGTAGAGCCGTGCCCATCCTTGCAGTGCTCCTCTGCGTATTCGGAGTCCTCATAACAGCACTCAATCAACCGTCACCCAAAGCCGACTTTGCGGTATGCTCCTGTGAATGACAATGTTCATACACCCACAGGTCCGAGAGAGCATCCTTGGCGACTCTCTAGCGCTGGCATCAGCCTGTTGTTACGGCCTCTTCTCGTGCTTCATTAAACTCTGGGTATGAGCATACCACGCTCTGTGGTACATCATACAGCACCCTCAGGTACCTGATGAGCGCATGGTGGCGTACGTCTTCGGCATGTTCGGTGTTGTTGCCTTTGTTATGGGAGTAACAACACTCCTCTCGTGGCATCTAGTGTATTGATCATCTCAGATCCCTTTGCTAGCCCTGTGCCAAATGACAGGACTTGAGACTTTGGTAAGTCCCCTTGGTAGTCGTTGTGAGTCTTTTCCTCAGGCCTTACCGACCTGGGGTCAATTCGGTGCTATGACGGCCAATGCTGTGCTCGGCAGTGTCGCATCGGACTATCTACTCACAGTTGCTGTAAGTGCTGAGATTGGGGATTCAAATTCAAATTTGTATACTGATGATGATAAACTGCTACTGTATGAGCACCCCCATGTTTCAAACACTCTACATCATGATTCAACTTATGTCTACTATGAAAGCGTCAGAAGATCGGCACCATATACAGTATCTGCCAGAGTGTAAGGGAAAACACAATAATTGTCACACTTGTCGAAACTACAGCGATCTACTTCGGCTGTTGTTGGAACAGAGGCGATCCTTCGTCCAGGTGATTTTACTTTCGCCACTATCAGCAGCTGTCGGCCTATCATTGACAATACCTTTATCCTTGGTTGTTGATAGTAAGTCTTTCGATGAGGATGTTCCCTCCACCTCTGTGGGGCCTCAGGTACAATCCTTGCTCTTCACAGTTTCAAAAGTGTTTATATGCTCGGCTCAGCACTCGTGTTTGCAGCTGTTGTGCTCATTAGTTGGGACACGTGAGTGCATCTCCCATACTGATTCATATCCCGCTACTATTACTGCAGTTACAATATCGACGTGGAAAAGGAAGCCGAAGTGATCAGTCCACAAGCTGAAGTGCAGGGCAGGTCGTTGGTGCGTAAGTTGATCTCATAAAGTTAGGTTCACCAAATCCTCATTGTTCTGTTATAGATCATGGGAAGAATAACTGAAGGAGTGAAGATACCAACGAGTGATTGATGTGTCCCTCAAATGTTGTTTCTCATTTCTGCAATAACACTTATCTCACAGGGAAAAGTCAGTCGGTATTGCGTTGTCACGAGTGCCAACAATAGTCTTACATCATTAGGGCTCTTAAACGAACAAGACTATATATGTTGAGCAAACACCAATGAAAACTCATCACACACTGATATGCAATGTACGATCGCTATACCTTTTGTTGGTTTTCCCCACGTACTTTTGAGTTCGCCCAAGAGATACTTACGTGTTGGAATTAAAAGTTGAAGAGATACGAAAGGAATTTGCTGGGAAATTGATTCCCAACATAGAACTTCTCAGACTCCTCATCCCCGGAGCCTTTAACATTTATCGCTTCACCGAGCCGTTGACTATCTGTGAGAAGCTCAGGAATTCGCTGCAAGTGATGAGTCAGTTTGTTCAAGTTCATTCGCCACCATAAGGACAACTCAAAACGCTTATCTTCATTAAAATTAATCTCGACTTGTGAAAGTAGAAAACATAAGAAGAACTCCACAACAATGCTAAACGCATTCAATAGTGGATTTGGGTAAAATTGAAGAGCGAGATACTGAATGCCACAACCGGCTCAGTGGTTAGGTTCAACATAGCTAGTTATACAGTAATTACAAAAAATAAACATATCATGAACGTCTGTGGATTAGACGACAATCATCTTGGGTTCTTCAATACTGAGAAGTTCAGTGGCCGAGTCGTTAACAGGATCGAAAGGATTCCCTTGTGAAACTTCGTTCTGAATAAAGGAATAAGAAGCAGCGCCAAAGACCCAAACACTTACCACAGTAATCTCGCCTTCCAAGTTCATACCAAACTCGCTCTTGATCTCATCAATGGTGTATCCCTTGCCCAGTAAATAGCTGAGCTTGGCAACAGCAGCCTCAGGAGTCATGTCACCACCGCTGATGACACCATAACGGAGTAGCTGAGAGCCTGCAGCATAGTCACCGAGGCTAACAACACCCTTAAGAACTTGGGATACCACAACCACGGGGATTTGCCCATCATCCAACCTGACAATGATAATCACGAGAATCACGAAAAGATTCGAAACGTACTTTTGCAACCATGAGAGGAAGTTCGCGTTAGAAGGAGCATTGCCGGTGCCGTACAGCAGAAGAACAACACCATTTATGTCGTTAACATCAAGGGAGAGTAAGCTGGACAAACCAGGAATCTGATAACTAGTGATACACCAAGAGGAATGCAGTCAACACTTACCATGCGCACAGCGAGGATAGAGTCCGCCATTGTTGTCTGTACGGTGAGAGGAGCTGATGGTGCAGGAAGAAGGAGATCCTTACTGAAGTCAATACCAACACCGATGGTGGCAAGAGGACGTTCCTTGGGCGAACCGAAGGCCTCGATAGCACTAGCATCAACCTGAACACAGTATAGAAACATAGAAAACTATACATTTTATCTTACCTTAGTAGCCCTATTGCCCCTCAAGAGAACTGTGTCGAAGAAGAGGCACACTTCTGGTATCGTATATTTACCTGAATGATGATATAAACTACGGAACAACGGCAAATACTCATTCTAGCCTACCAGCGAACATAACGGAAACGACGATGTTCCTCTTGGCATCGCTGTGAGGATCAATAAATGGTAAGATGGAACCAGTGACAACAACACTCTTCGACAGATTTTCAAGCATGAGAGACAATGCGCTCGTAGTGTAGGCCATCGAGTCCGTGCCGTGCAGAATAACAAAACCATCATAATCATCATAGTTATCTTCGATAGTCTAAAGACCAAGACATTCAAATGAGATATGCGAGGGTATATAACTTACCTTAGCCATAGTGACCCAATTCTCAGGAGTAGCATCGGAACTATCAATCAAATTTTCATACTCGAGGACAGTAAACTCAGGCATGCCAGGCTGCTGTAACTCCTCCATATTGTTGATCTGATCAGTAAGGTATCCCGGTACTGGATGTAGTGTACCATTAGGGTAAGGCTGCATGCCTATAGTACCACCAGTGTAGATGATGAGAACCTAACAACAACAAGAAGATATCACTTCGACACAAGAGCGACTGTCTCCCACCTTGCCAGGTGCATGCTCAACCATAGGGCAATACACAGGTTCCATACCAGCTGCATTTGCTGGTTGGTATTCATAACCAAAACCATCATGATACATACCAAAGCACGATCCATCACTCTTGCAATAGGAACCTTGCTTAGAAGACTCACAGGAATCGATGCTTTGGCACAGTTGCTCGCAATAGTCCACGTCGTGAGCGAATGCAACACCAGCCGATAGAGCGAAATATAGAATACTTGCAGCACGCATGGTTGAATATAGGCAACAAACTGAATAATGATTATGCGTTCTCCATAACACTCAATTGGATACTTTTATAATGAGCTTTATCGCTATAATGGAATCGCTGATTCCTAGCCTCCCTAGCCTTAGCGTTTCACAAGCCGACATAAAATCTTCAATTCGATGTTCTAGCGTATTATACATTTGTTGATTACGCATGTATAACGTAGGGAGTCGGTTAAAGTCATCGTGATAGTACCTTGCTCAAACTCTCTGGTGAAGAGGAGTAATCTAGTTGTTACTCTAATCACTCCGGTGCTGGAAGGCTTGCTAGTTCGGTATGGTCTTGTCTCACTAAGTCATAATGTATTACTATGTGAGAGTTTGTAGAAATCGCATGAACAGGGATGAATGAATTCAAGTTGTCGTAGATGGATCTTTCAACCTTACATGTATCGACCATTTCAAATTGTAACCATGTTCAAGTTTGTGGGAATTCTCAAAGTTAAATCTACACATGTGAAACAGACAGATCTACTTCGTTTCTACACTTTTCAGTTCTGCAATAGAGCTCTCGATTTCACAATCAGAGGCTTCGATTCCGCGTCCTTGGATGTTGTCTTGGATCTCTCGTGAGTTGCTAAGTGACTTGATGATGATGCAGTGCAAGTTTTCAAAGATAAGAAGCCTCCCATGCCACTGTACAGATCTCATTAGAATATCGTATACCCTGCTGTTACTCCACTCGTGAAAACACAATAACGTTAAATCCGTCCTTAAGAAACCATTTACCACAGTTGTAGTGAACACCTTCCCATCACGAAGGACCTCCAACTCTGCTAGACACTCCCACTAGGCCTCTACACTTTAATCGACACCATGGACGAATCAGACCAACGTCCGTCGATGCTCTTGGTAACATCACCGACTCGTGACCCCGCCTTCCACATGCACAATGCGGATGACCTCTTGGTTCACTCATTCCCTTACCTAATTCACCCTATCTAGAAGACATACGTCAATTGTCAATTAACATGCTAAGATTGAACTCCGAGAATGAAATGATACCAGCAAAGATGAGCTCCTTCTTGAAATCATCTCGACGACCGGTAGAAAAAATCCAAAGGAAAACGTAGTGTTAAAACAGGAGCCTGGATAACTACTACTAGAAGACCTTCACACTAGTATTTCACTTGAGAAAATATCGCATAAAATTGCGTCATCATCCCTCATCTGTCTGAGTGGCATGGACCTAATCGTCCTTATGATGTGATCGATAACTGCATAAACGGAGCCTCTATCAGTGAGGAAGTCTTTGCTCTTGTTTGAGGAACTTAAATGGTCGCGTGGGAGTTGCTATGATTTTCTTATTTCACGGTATGAAGAAATCACCACAACAACATGAAATTGCGGCACTCCCTACCAACTCGTGTGGCCATACCACACCTCCCCGAACAAAGACCACTTTCAATCAAGACTCTCTTTGCTCCCGTTAACTCACTGCTTAGCCTCCTTGGCTGCACACTCACCATTGACTACCGTCTATTCCTATGAGCATAACCCTAATCCTTATACACACTAAATCAAACAAAGCCCAGGGAAGAGTCCTATGAAAACAGCAGATAATCACACACGAGTATTGCCGCTTTGATGATGATGAAGTCATATCTCGGCCGAGCAAGAGACTGGTGATTTTTTTGGTTTTCCTCAGTTGAGCTCGCGAGTTTCCAAAGTCACAAAATGTTCATTGTGTAATTAATAACAAAAAACAACTACGTTAGAAACGGTGTTTGAAATGAACATTCTGTGATTAAATAGTATTTGACGGTAGGAGGCTACCTACTTTTTTCAGCCTCCTTAATCTGTTTAAAAATCTTATCAATTCGAGCACTCAGTTTCTCAGCTTGCCGAACTAACTCTTTTCGAGCCGCTTTAGCCGGCTCTTTCCCTGACACTCACACAAGTCAACGAAAGTCCTCCCCGAATCCACACTCACCGGAGTGAAGGTCAACAGTCTCGACCGAATCAATGCCGTTAAACTGCAACTTATCCAATCTGAACAGTATGGGACTACATGTGTCGGCGAAAATGAGAAAATTTTGAGAGATTTTTTTATTCCCGGAAAGTTCAACTCCTATAAGTAGTGAGGAGACTCGCCAGTTCAAGAGAGGCGATCAAGCGTATATTCCAAGACTCGACGAGTGGTATCGAATTCTGAAA